ATTCTAAACTGAGATCACACTTGCAGGCAGCGTGATATTGCCCATGCCCTATTCCTCAATATGATGTTAGCTGCAATTCTTAACATGGCAATCAGAGATGGCAGACTTCACATCCTTACCCATTCTGCGATATGCTTTGTGACCCTTCCAGTCCCACAATGATTATGTATGAGAATACTATATCATGTATGTAGGAAATAATAGAAACACAGACAGAAAACAAAGACAAGCCAAAACAACACGTCGCTCTCTTAGGGTCTAGAGTCTGAACCATGTTTCCGTGCGTACGTGAAAACTGGCCAAATAGACAGTTACGAGAAGCAGTGAATACCGCCCAGACGCGCCTTTGGTTGTTAATGATATCCATTACACAAAATCTGGTAAACGATTCGTTACTTCCACTCTACAGTCATCGGCCCGAGTCTGATGAACGAGTCGATTCGCAAGTATAAATCGCGCGTCTGCAAATTGTGTGGGCCGACAAAGGATCTGCCGTCCTCGCTGACCCTCACCACTTTCCAGGCCTCCGATAACACGCCGGCGAAATCGTGTTGAAATGGATCCATTTGGTGTAATTTGCCGGGGATACAAAGGAAAACCTTTCCGGTCCATTTTACACATTACGGGCCACCTGTACCTGGCGCTGACGTCATTACAAGTAAATGATAACACGTACATGGTTTCCTGACTTGCTTCACTCAATCCAATCTTCTGTTTTATCATTCATTTCATGATCTAGTCTTTTTCAACACACTATCCCCTATCAACCAACTCAGTAATGATAGTGCTTTTCGACTTTTTGACCCCTCCACACGCGCACACAAACACAGACAAGACAAGACAGACAAACACACACACACACACACACACGCACACACACTCAACACACACACACACACACACACACACACACACTCACTCACTCATTCAAACACAAGTACACACACGGACAATTACAAACATATACACTTCTCTTGCCTGGACGAAGTAACAAGTTTTCATATGGTGCCCTTGGACTAGAATGATGGCTTTCCAAATCCAAAGTGACCCGTGTAGTGTTTCTGTCGATGTTTCTGCGCCCAAACAGTTTTCATTTCCTTCTACCGGTCCGGCGGAGATCGGGTCATTCCAGGTCGGTAAGCGCCCATAATGGACCGGACTCTGGAGGCGTCTTTATTCACTTAGCGGCCGCGCACAATCAATAAGGGTTCGTTTTACCGGTCTCCTGGCGCTTGTTAACAACGCTTGTGGAATCAGCACCAAGGACAGGTCATGGAAACTGCATAACGTTAACTATGCCGGGATAGAAAACGCATCACGACATGCGAGACAACTACTTAGATACAGATACATGTTCCGCATGGCGTAATGCGTTTTCTATATTGGAACAGTCGACGTTATGTAGCTACCATGCCCTGTCCTTGGTGCTGATTCAAGAAGTGTTGTGACAGGTCGGTTTCAAACGATGTCTACCCGTGTCTTTGGTAAATGGCATAGATAGGGACAGAGAGTGACTTCGTGGTACTGATATGGAGTTTTCCTCGTCTTTTTCAAGCCTGTCACATTCTTATCGATACGTTTTTAGCTCTTTAACATGCTGAAGGCGTGTGGCTTCCTTTAATATGCTAGATGCGTATCTCCCCTTAAACACTTGCTATATCCTCAGCGTAGGGCGTTCTGTTAATCCAGGGGAGTGCAGCCGGTAGAAGTATTTTTCACATCCAGAACATAGAGAGCATGGCCGGGCTTCCAACCCATGACCTAACGATCCACTGAAAAACGTGATTGTGTACGACTACACTGCGGCACGGCACAGCACTACTGCTGAAGACTTACCGCTAAACTGGAGACGAATGAAAAATTGCTGGAATTCAACATTTTTCCCATCTGGTTTATTTTATTCGTGCAATCAACTCATGTGTCTATAGATAACTACGAGTCTGTTTGGTACATCTACAAGGAAGAATACATCCTTCAAGGCGCCTTAGGCAAGATTCCGATTACAATACTCCTCAAGTCCATCCTTATTTCGTGCGTTTATGTCTTTAAGTGCTAAACGTGGATCAACCACGTATCCTTAAGTTCTTGTTTACACATGTTTTGGTCACTGTAGCTTCGACTGATTCGGAAAAAGAACAAATAAAAACAGTCCATAAGGAGAGAGAGAGAGAGAGGGAGGGAGAGAGAGAATGAGAAAGAAAGAGGAGGGAGGAGAGAAGAGAGAGAGAGAGAGAGAGAGAGAGAGAGAGAGAGAGAGAGAGAGAGAGAGAGAGAGCACTCACTCACTCACTCATTCAAACACAGGTACACACACGGGCAATTACAAACATATACACTTCTCTTGCCTGGACGAAGTAACAAGTTTTCATATGGTGCCCTTGGACTAGAATGATGGCTTTCCAAATCCAAAGTGACCCGTGTAGTGTTTCTGTCGATGTTTCTGCGCCCAAACAGTTTCCATTTCCTCCGAACGGTCCGGTGGAGATCGGGTCATTCCAGGTCGGTAAGCGCCCATAATGGACCGGACTCTGGAGGCGTCTTTATTCACTTAGCGGCCGCGCACAATCAATAAGGGTTCGTTTTACCGGTCTCCTGGCGCTTGTTAACAACGGCTCTGGAATCAGCACCAAGGACAGGTCATGGAAACTGCATAACGTTAACTATGCCGGGATAGAAAACGCATCAGGACATGCGAGAAAACTATTTAGATACAGATACATGTTCCGCGTGGCGTAATGTGTTTTCTGTATTGGAACTGTCGACGTTTTGTAGCTACCATGTCCTGTCCTTGGTGCTGATTCCAGACGCGTTGTAATACGCCGGTTTCAGACGATGTCTACCCGTGTCTTTGGTAAATGGCATAGACAGGGACAGAGAGTGACTTCGTGGTGCTGATATGGAGTTTTCCTCGTCTTTTTCAAGCTTGTCGCATTCTTATCGATGCGTTTTTACCTCTTAACATGCTGAAGGCGTGCGGCTTCCTTTAATATGCTAGATGCGTATCTCTCCTTAAACACTTGCAGTATCGGCAGCGTAGAGCGTTCTGTTAAATCGAGGGAGTGCAGCCGGTAGGAGTATTTTTCAAATCCAGATCATAGACAGCCTGGCCGGGCTTCGAACCCATGACCTCACGATCCACTGACAACCGTGATTGTTTACGACTACACTGTGTCACGACACGACACTACTGCTGAAGACTTACCGCTAAACTGGAGACCAATGAAAAATTGCTGGAATCCAACATTTTCCCATCTGGTTTATTTTATTCGTGCAATCAACTCATGTGTCTATAGATAACTACGAGTCTGTTTGGTACATCTACGAGGAAGAATACATCCTTCAAGGCGCCTTAGGCAAGATTCCGATTACAATACTCCTCAAGTCCATCCTTATTTCGTGCGTTTATGTCTTTAAGTGCTAAACGTGGATCAACCACGTATCCTTAAGTTCTTGTTTACACATGTTTTGGTCACTGTAGCTTCGACTGTTTCGAAAAAAGAACAAATAAAAACAGTCCATAAGGAGAGAGAGAGAGAGGGAGGGAGAGAGAGAATGAGAAAGAAAGAGAGGGAGGGAGAGAAAGAGAAAGAGAGAGAGAGAGAGAGAGAGAGAGAGAGAGAGAGAGAGAGAGAGTGGATTCACATGCAGACCTCGAATACAGGAGCTTCAGTAGCTCCAGTTGTGGAATACCAAATACTAAGTGCCGCTGTCATTCTTTGATATTCATTAAAGCAATTCTATCGTCGCCCCTTCTAATGATGCTACATATTCACAGCAACCATCTACAATAGATTGATACGCAAAAACCAGACGCTTGGAACTAAAAAAGCTAGCATTTCCTGTAGCTACTGTATGTAGGAGCGTACATGTATGTGGAATGTACATAGTAGGTTGTTTGTATCCGCACGAAAATTGCTAATCTGGTAGGTCCTTGAGTTTTCTGTGTTTGTAATATTTCTGGTAGCAGCATATTCTGCCTGCCATTCCTGGTTATAATAGTTATATACTCGCTGCGTGGCTCCGTTACGACTTTGCCAGAACTGCCCGATTGGCTACAATGTCCTCACGTTACATACTTGCCACAAACTGTCGCGTCACTCTGCCGGTACAGACTTGCCACAAATTGTTGTCATTGCATTATTGTTACAATGGCCATACAGAAACAGGTTCATCACAGGTCCCAACGCGCTTTGATATCTGCTACAATTTCACAATGTTATTTCTCAATGTCATTTCAAATTCCTCATCTGTTACATTTTGTTGGATTTTTCCAAATAGGAGAAACGTTACACAAATCTGTCACGTTTCCCTCGTATGTTTCAAGCTTGTCACAAATTCGCCACAATGTCACAATCTCTTATGAATTTTCACAGCCTTTTCATCAATAAATGTGCTTGTCGATAATTGTTTTTTTCCGGATTGCATCATAAAGTTCCCTTATTGCTGATGTAGTTCACCGACAAACCGTTCCAATAGCAAATGACACAACGCAACAACAGCGACAACAACAACGAAGGCCATGGCCTGATTTGGCCATTTCCAATGATGGCTGACTATCTCAGCCATGTGGCTATTCTATGTAGGACCTTCTTGAATTCCAGGAACCGAAAAGATTGGTACCTTCTTATTTTAGGTCACCGTCAATCTTTAGGATTCTGTCCCCCGAAAACGTCGCCAATTTTACTTCAGTTTCTTGAATTTTTCTTCACTTTTTCACATACACATTTATAATCCTCTATTGTATAAAGACAAGAAAGAAAAAAATATTAACATTATGCCGACAGTTTTACATCTTGATGGCCACAATATCTTCAGTAATGACCCATGACCTATGACATGACCTTTACCTATGACCCATCCAATCACACGCCTTTGTTGCCACGTGTTCTTGCGAATGTCATAGTTCTCGTTCTTGTGCGCTCTGGGGTATCTTGAGACACCTACTAAAATCCTGCGTCACTCGTCCTGATGCTTGACCGTAAAATTAAAGTCTACTCTGTCTCTACTACTCTCTACTGGGACTCCACAAACCCCAAGTGGCACGTTTCATCTGCTTGAATATGATTCCTTCTTTCGGGACGACTCTTTCTTATGCTTCTTGGATACGGAATTATTTCTAGGAGCCACTCGGGAGTGGACTGTTACTAACTAACCCTGTTCTACTGTCGTGGAGTGGTAGTATGGACCGGTTACGTTGTGCTTGCTGTGTCGCGGCGTCCTCAGTGCATTTTCCTGTTCCCTGCTTCTCTGGTTTTCCGGAAGGCCAACGGGTAGATTGCATTGGATTCTGGGTTTCCGGGCTGCTTGCTGTGTCCGGAAGGCCCGGGATACAGGCTATTGCCGGATGCGCCTGATGAAGGCCTGGAGTAGAGGCTGTTGCCGGACGGCCCTCCGGAAAATCCGGCGTACGGGCTTTTACCAGACGTTCCTCCGGAAGACCGGAGTAGAGGCTATTGCCGGACGGGCCTCCGGAATATCCGGCGTAGAGGCTGTTGCCGACCGGGCCTCCGGAATGCATCGAGTACAGGTTTTTACCTGACGTTCCTGCCGAATGACCGGAGTAGAGACTATTGCCGAGCGGGCCTCCGGAATTTCCGGAATAGAGGCTGTTGCCGGACGTTCCTCCGGAATGGCCGGAATTGAGGCTGTTGCCGGATATTCCTCCGGAATGTCCGGTGTGCAGGGTGTTGCCGGGTGGACCTTTTGAGGCGTGCGGCTGCCGACCACCGCTAGTCGCCATTTTGGACAGGATGACCTTGGGCCGACTCCACTTGACCTTGTCCTTCCCGGCACTTTCGTACGGACGGCTTGAAGTCGGAACTCCCCAAGACGACGAAGGATCGCGCTGCGGAGATTGTATGCTTCCGTACTCCGCCTGACGACTGTACGTCAACGGAAACCGTGCGGACTGAGCGACGCCGTTGCCTGGCAAAGCCCCGTTTCCGACCTGGCCTTGGTGCTGATTCCACAAGCGTTGCAGCAGGTCGGCGATCAGGCGGTTCTGGACCATGTCCATCAGAGTTTCGAGCGTTTTCCGGTAAGGGACGACCGCCGCCTGGCGTCCGTAGTCGAACGGTCGGCTCGAACCCTGGACCAACCGGTGGTTGAGGAGGTTTGACAACGGAGACGCGAACTTTCCGTACCGCTGGTTTGTTGTCAGTTCGCTCAAGAACCGCTCTTTCCCCCATTTTGCCGCCGGCGGCGACTTTAAGTCCGGGAAGACCGGGCCTGGGTCGAATTGGTTGTCCCGGAAGGTCCCGGCGCCGAAAGGCCGCGGTTGCTGCTGCTGTTTCCTCTCTAGCCACCGCTGGAGGTCGCCGTAAGGGTACGGGTCGCTCCTCGGCACCCGGCTCGGGTCCCTTCCGAAGCGCTGAGGCCTCCAGGCGGCGTCCCACCGCGACACGAAGCGGGAGTAGCTCGGCTTCCGGATGGACGGCGCGAACAGGCTCAGCAGGAACGGGAACAGCATGAAGGCCCAGCCCATGGTGAAGCTGCGGTGAAGCTGTCGTTCCCGGGGGTCTCAGGCTCCTCTCGTTCCCAGCTGGAAGTAATCACAGAAGCAACGCTCGATAGAGCACTGGTGTGACGTCACCACCGCCTGAATCTGTAATGAAGGAAAAAACATTCGTCATCAGGGGTTAACAGGTTAGCGTTACGTCATCAGATGATTGGCAGGTTAAGCATTACGTCATCAGTTGATTGGCAGGTTAAAAACTACGTCATGAGTGATTGACAGGTTAGGTGTTACGTCATCAGGCGATTGGCAGGTTTAGCGTGACGTCATATCAAAACCATTGACGGGTTAAGCGATTGAGACCCTATTTTGGCGTTCTAAGTTTTAAGCACGTCTCTCCTTCACCAAAGTTTCTTCTGCCTTACAACAAGTTACGAACACGGAAACGAGAGAAGCATTGCTCAGCTCAGAACATCCCCGATAGACTACTCTACAGTCCAGAACAATCCCGCGAATGAAGTAATTAACGCGAATAAGCGATCCAATCTCACGGTGTTGACCCGAGAATCACCGGGGCGCGACTCGGCGAGGTTTGACGTCATCGCGCGGGTTCAAGTCGGCACAGACCCGGGTTTGTGACAAACGGAGCCCCGCATCAGAATGCCGGGCGACGAGCCGGAGAATCGCTCATTTTCCACGCTTATGGCGCGCGCTGAAGTGTGGCTTTCGGTGACAACTTATTGGATCATCGCCGCACAGAAAAATACAAAGTGAAGTTATATCTGACGTCTTTGCCGGGATGTTTTGCTGCAGGAGACCTTTGACATGACGTCGGAAGGGGAATTTAATTTTCCGCCGGTTAGAACAAGACGCGGGTACTGTGTACGGTGTACACCGGCTCATTGTACCGGGGAAATCCCCTTAATCCGACAGCTACAAGCAACAAAGACCACGGGGTGTACTCTCCAAGCAGAGGCTTAGGCTTTGGCTTATTTTTGACGCGTTTTTATACGTTTTAGTCTGGCTTAATTTTTTGTACTGGTGTCTTTTTTTCGCCTGCCAAACGGTGGTGTATTGGATACCGTCTTGCCAGATTGATATTTTCTTCAGCCACCAAAAGATCTGCTTGGAGATCACACGGCTTGCAACCTTCCCTCCTTTCACCTCGACTGATAAACTATCCAGTAGCACTCAGAGTAACAATACCCGACATGTGGTACTACAAAGTGTATTTAAAACTTTTGTTCCATAACCGGAGACGCTAACCACTAGGACAGGGTCTCCTTGTATTTGAACGAGAATCCAGCTGCAGGGACAGATCTTTCCGAAAGGTTCATCACTAAAGCTAGACTTATATATACTTTGATCTTTTGGACCTGTGTTGGCAAACATCCGGTTGAAATTATATGGAGCCTTTGCTAATCACAATCTTCTTTCAAAACTCCAAACCAAATGTTTTTTGTTCGCAGTGAGTTTGAACTGAAGAACGCTACATGTCTTTATCCGTTAGCAGCGTATGTTCTCCTACGCGTTCTTCCACACCGCTCCTGGCGGTAATATTCCTCCTAAAATGGACGCTTTAAAAAATTAAAGGGATGGGGGGAACCCTAACGAACGGCTTAGCGAGCCTGCGCCTCTCGCATCGAACGCGATTTAACGCGGAGGCATTCAGCGCGGCTTCGCGTGGGCGGGGGAAGACGGACGAGCGCGACTGTCGGAGTTTGCGATCGCGGGATCTTAAAGCGCGGCTGTTAAAGGTTAATGAAAGTCATCTCGGCTGTCAGCGGGCATTTGTTGGGGGATAGATTACACCGTTCGGCTTAAGCCGGGCTGCGGGGCGCGCGGAATCGCCGCAAATTGTACGTCATGTCCAATGATGTATTCTCTCCGTCATGCCGGCTGATATAGGGCTGCTTTTGCGGCTGCGTTTGTCTGAGTTTCGCGGGGCAATATAAAGTGGATTTGACGCCGCCTCGTGGTGGTCACGACACGCATTGTTAAATTCTCGAGCCCATTTTTCTCCTCAACTTCTTCCAGTAATCTTCCTACATCCATCCTCACGCCGTAAAGATGGGCTTGCCGTGTGCTTTGTGTGAAGAGATGTTTTGTCGGGGCATTTGCGGCAGCGTTTGGTGGTGGTTTTCGGACTGATGGAGATTCGGGTGGTAGAACATTGTCGGTTCCAATACAAAGTATATCAAACTCTGGTTTTATCTACTTTGTGTCAGTCATTCACTCTCTGTCTGTCTGTCTGTTTCACACACACACAAAATATATGTGTGTGTGTGTGTGCGTGTGTTTGTGTGTGCGTGAGAGAGAGAGAGAGAGAGAGAGACAGACAGACAGAATTATACAATGACCAAAAAGTTCAATTGAGTCATAAATCCTTACCGACATCGCAAGGACACGTGATCTCATGGAGCCAACCAAACCTAGCAGTTTGCCACCTAACCCCACCCCCTCACCCAACCAACCCAACCCCCTCACCCACCCAACCCCACCCCCGTAACCACTCAGCCCCACGCCCTCCCAATTTGCTTTCCCAGTGAGGACCATTGTTGCAAACGTTCTTCTTCACGCTTTGAGCTCGGCCCTGGTTGTGAGATCCCGACGGTTTCAGGCTTGTCAGTGGGATTAGGTGCGGGGGAGGCGAGAAATGCCGAACAGACGCGGAATCGATGAGTTCTGGAGGGTTTCGGTCGGAAACTGGCGCACGGCTCCTCTGTCTTCCACGCGCCAGAAAGTTGATCCTGCCGACACTATATAGACTTTTCCCTCAACAAAGCAGAAACAGCTACAGAGACCATTTTTGCGTACAAAGACAGTATCGAATTGGCAAGGCAGTATCCAATGGCGTAAAATAAGACACCAGTATTAAAAACAGAGCCCGATAAATAGCTATAGATAACGGATAAAACATGTCAAACATAATTTGATCCCGCCCACACCATAGACCTTTCCCTCAACAAAGTAGAGACATTTTAGAGAAACCACTTTTTGCAAATTAAAGTGGATCTTTTGACGTAGTGATGGGCTGTTATATCAATCTCTGGACTGATACACCAAGATGTGCTGTCTAAGATTGTGTACTTCCATTGGATACTACCTACTCATTTTGATACTGTCTTGCGCAATCGACAATTTTTTTTTATATTCCAACATTTCATGACTCGACATGGTGACGGCACACTCAAGTTATATCAACTTATTTTATGTCGCCACCAACGCAGAGGACGAATACAGGACAGGACAATACTCATTTTCACTTGAGTTAAGTGAGGAAAGTAGTGTTAAGTGCCTTTCCCAAGGGCACAAGATCGGTGGCATGTCAGGACTCGAACCCGGGACCTCTTGGTTCCGAATCGAGAACGCTGCCGCTACGCCACACAACTCCACAATCGCCAATTTGATACTGTATTGCAGCCATCAAAAGATCTGCCTGGAGATTAGTGGATGATTACAGCTCTGGTATCAGCACACGCGGCGGGACCCTCCCGTCCATCCATCTCTCTCCATCTCCGCCATGAGGAGACAAACCCCCGCATCGACCCGCGGCGAGCGGAAACACTTGTTCGGCTGTCACGGTCCATCCGTCTAACTTCTCCCCGGGACCACAGCTCAGCCTATAATCTCCAAGCAGATCTTTCGGTGGCCACAAAGTAATCTTCAATCAGATCCTAAGGTAGCCTCGCACACTGGATAACTTTGAGCCTTGTGTGCTGTGACAAGAGACAGTATCAAATTGGCTTAATCTCCAAGCAGATCTTTCGGTGGGGGTAAGACAGTATCAAATTGGCCAGACTGTATCCAGTTGGTGGCCAATGGATACTGCCTGTAATGGCCAGTAATCTCCAAGCAGATCCTAGGTTGGCAAAAGACAGTATCGAATTGGCCAGACTGTATCCAATCGGTTGCCAATGGATACTGTCAGTAATCTCCAGCAGATCTTTCGGTGGCCACAAAGTAATCTCCAAGCAGATCCTAGGGTAGCCTGGCCCACTTGATAACTTTGAGCCTTGTGTGCCGAGGGTCTGGCATCCAGGCTAATCCTAGGGTGGCAAGAGACAGTCTTAATCTCCAAGCAGATCTTTCGGTGGGGGGGTAAAGCAGTATCAAATTGGCCAGACTGTATCCAATGGGTGACCAATGGATACTGTCAGTAATCTCCAAGCAGATCTTTCGGTGACCACAAAGTAATCTCCAAGCAGATCTTACGGTAGCCAAAAAGTAATCTCCAAGCAGATCTTTCAGTGGGGGTAAGACAGTATCAAATTGGCCAGACTGTATCCAATGGGTGGCCAATGGATACTGTCAGTAATCTCCAAGCAGATCTTTCGGTGGCCAAAAAGTTATCTCCAAGCAGATCATACGGTGGCCCAAAAGTAATCTCCAAGCAGATCTTTCGGTGGGGGTAAGACAGTATCAAATTGGCCAGACTGTATCCAATGGGTGACCAATGGATACTGTCAGTAATCTCCAAGCAGATCTTTCGGTTGCCACAAAACAATCTCCAAGCAGATCATACGGTGGCCAAACCGTAATCTCCAAGCAGATCCTAGGGTGGTAAAAGACAATACCCATTGGCTAGAGAGGGTCCGATACGCTACCTTGTCCAGTGCGACTTTGGTGGCGTATCCTTGGGTAGCGTGTTAGACCCTCTTTGGCCAATGGATACTGCCTGGCCAACTTGATACTGTCTTTTGCCACCACCCTAGGATCTGCTTGGAGATTACAGAGAGTATCCATTGGCCACCCAGTGGATACATGTACAGCCTGGCCAATTTAATACTGTCTTTTTGCAGCGGCCACTGAAAGATCTGCTTGGAGATAGTCCTCAATCTGCACCAAAAATATCACGGTGTTGACGGATCGTTCTAATGTACACATAAAGTTTCTACGACGCGGTCGTTCTGAAATGGCAACGACCGCACACGAGACGGAAAGTAGCGATCTTGTGCCCTTGGGAAAGGCACTTTACACGACTTTCCTCACTTAACTCAAGTGAAAATGAGTATTGTGCTGTCTTGTATTTGTACTCTGTGTTGGTTGCGGCATAAAATAAGTTGATATAACTTGAGTGTGCTG